CTATAGTAGTTTAACTTATTTGATTATTCTTTGACTTTTTCTTTTTTAATCTAAATGCTCTTTGCACTTTGGATGACTCCTGCCAAGCATGGCCTCTGGCTGCCTTGCTGACCATTACGGATGCTGTTGGATCAAATCCCTGGCTTGCTCTCCTGGTCCCTAGGGGTCCACTTTTCTCTATATTAGCAGGGCCCACACCGTGTCCCCCTTGGAAGCCCTCTGGCCAGGCCTCTGCCTGTTGCCTAGAGCACGTCTGCAGACTGGGCTTAATCTACAAGGTTTAGTGTTGTTTCTACCAGAGTGGAGTCAGTGCCGCCTCACTGACCCTCTTCCTGGTTGCTGCTAGTAAGATGTGTTTTATTTATTTACTTATTTATTTCAGGGAGACAAAATATGTCAATCAATATATATAAGTAGAACATTGGTACAGTCCAGAAAGGCGGGACATCTGACACAGGGGCTTCCAGGTCACAGAGAGATTCAAAGATTTTCTGATTGGCAATTGGTTGTAAGAGTTATTATCTAAAGTCCTAGAATCAATAGAAAGGAATGTCTGGGTTAGGATAAAGGGTTATGGAGACCAAATTTTTATCATGCAGATGAAGCCAAAAGGAGGCAGGTTTCAGAGAGAATAGATTGTAGATGTTTCTTTTTTTTTGAAAGAAAAAAAGAGAAAGAAAAAAGAAAGCGAGAAAGAAAGAAAAAAAGAATGAAAGAGAGAAAAAAAGAGGAAGAGAAAGAGAGAGAGAGAACAGGAGTCTTGCTTTATTGCCCAGGCTAGAATGCAGTCTAAAAATGGGTATTGAAAACCTCTTTTATGCCAATAATTGTGCTTAACAATGGAGACAGGAAGGAATAAAGGAGGAAAATAACAAACAAGCAGCCAAGCAATATTTCATTGAAACCTGTGAAATGCTGTGCAGTTACTGAGGAGTGATTTACTTCCAATTATATAGTCACTTTTTGAGTAGGTGTGATGTGGTACTGATAAGAATGTATTGTGGATTTGGGGTGGATAGTTGTATAAATGTTTATTAAGTTTACTTGTTCCGGGTCTGAGTTCAAGTCCTGGATATCCTTGTTAATTTTCTGTCTCGTTGATCTGTCTAATATGGACAATGTGATGTTAAAGTCTCCCACTATTGTTGTGTGGGAGTCTGAGTCTCTTTATAAGTCGTTAAGAACTTGCCTTATGTATCTGGGTGCTCCTGCATTGGGTGCGTATATATTTAGGATCATTACTTCTTGTTGCATTGATCCTTTTACCATTATGTACTGTCCTTCTTTGCCTCTTTTGATCTTTATTGCTTTAAAGTCTATTTTATCAGAGGCGAGAATTGCAACCCTTGCTTTTTATCTTTTTTATTTTTTTGCTCTCCATTTGGTTGGTAAATCTTCCTCTATCCCTTTGTTTTGAGTCTTTGTATATCCTTGCATGTGAGATGGGTCTGGATGCAGCATACCAATGGGTTTTGGCTTTTTATCCAGCTTGCTTGTCTGTGTCTTTTAATTGGGGCATAATAGTCTATTTAAATTTAGGATTAATAATAATATATGTGAGTTTAATACTGCCATTTGATGCTAGCTGGCTGTTTTGCCCATTAGTTGATGTAGATTCTTCATTATGTTGATGCTGTTTACCTTTTGGTATATTTTTGGAATGGCTGATACTGGTTGTTCCTTTCCAAGTGTAGCGCTTCTTTCAGAAGCTCTTGTAAAGCAGGCCTGGTGGTGATGAAATCTCTGAGTGCTTGCTTGTTCAGAAAAGATTTTATTTTTCCTTCACTTATGAAGTTTAGGCTGGCTGGATATGAAATTCTGGGTTGAAAGTTCTTTTCTTTAAGGATGTTGAATATTGGCCCCCACTCTCTTCTGGCTTGTAGAGTTTCTGCTGAGAGATCTGCTGTCAGTCTGATAGGCTTCCCTTTGTGGGTAACCTGACCTTTCTCTCTGGCTGCCCTTAGTATTTTCTCCTTCATTTCAACCCTGGTGAATCTGACAATTATGTGCCTTGGGGGTGCTCTTCTTGAGGAATATCTTTGTGGTGTTCTCTCTATTACCTGGAGTTGAATATTATCCTGCCTTGTTAGGTTGGGAAAGTTTTCCTGAATAATATCCTGAAGGATATTTTCCAGCTTGGATTGATTCTCTTCGTCGCATTCAGGTACACCTATCAAACGTAGATTAGGTCTTTTCACATAGTCCCATATTTCTTGGATACTTTGCCCATTCCTTTTTACCCTTTTTTCCCTCATCTTGTCTTCTCGTTTTATTTCATTGAGTTGGTCTTTGACCTCTGATATCCTTTCTTCTGCTTGATCAATTCAACTATTAAAACTTGTGCATACTTCACGAAGTTCTTATATTGTGTTTTTTAGCTCCATTAATTCACTTATATTCCTCTCTAAATTGTCTATTCTCGTTAGCATTTTGTCAAACCTTTTTTCAAGGTTCTGAGTTTCTTTGCATTGGATTAGAACATGTTCTTTTAGCTCACAGAAGTTTCTTATTAGCCACCTTCTGAAGCCTGATTCTGACAATTCATCACACTAATTCTCCACCAGGCCTTCTTCCCTTGCTGATGAGGAGCTGCGATCCCCTGAAGGAGGAGAGGCATTCTGGTTTCGGATGTTTTCGGCCTGTTTGCGCTGGTTTCTTCCCATCTTTGTGTATTTATTCACCTGTTGTCTTTGTAATTGCTGACTTTCAGATTGCGTCTCTGAGTGGATGTCCAGCTTGTTGGTGGTGATGTTATTTCTGTTTCTTTGTTTTCCTTTGGCGGATGCCCCGCCCCTACAGAGCTGGACCTTCCCAGGTTCAGCTGTGCTTGCTGTGAAACTCTCAACTGTCTGCGTTTCCAATTGCTGTTTTTTTGTGGGGGTGGGACCAGCTGAGCCCGATCACCTGGCTCCCCGCCTCGGAGCCCCCTTTTTTTCTTTTCTTAATTGAACGGCCGATTCTCTCCCAGGTGCCCCAGTCGCCTGCCGAAAAGGCGCCGGGATCTATGCAATTTCCCATGCGGTGACTGCGGGGGCTGAAACAGCAGAGCTGAGATTCGTGGCGCTTTTTTGCCCGGGAATCTCCCGGTCTGGCTCCCGGCTTTAGTCCCCCTTTCAAACAGCTGAATGGGCGACTCTGCCTTCCTGGAGCTCCAAACGCCAACCAAGAGGGCACCCAGTCCCGCATACTCCGCACTGAGATCCGCTGCTCCGGCCAAAAGAGTCGCGCTGGCGACCCGTGGGGCTCCTCCGCTGGGAAACTCCTGGTCCGTAGGCAACAAAAATTCGTCTGGAAGTCTGGCGTCCACTCACTCCCTGTACCTTCACTGGGAGCTGCAATCCTGAGCTGCTGCTAGTCGGCCATCTTGGATCTCTGTCCTATGTATTTATTTATTTTTGAGTTGGAGTTTCGCCCCTGTTGCCCAGGCTGGAGTGCAATGGCACGATCTCAGCTCAGCGCGATCTCAGCTCACCGCAATCTCCGCCTCCCAGGTTCAGACAATTCTCCTGCCTCAGCCTCCCGAGAAGCTGGGATTATAGGCATGCACCACCATGCCTGGCTAATTTTGTATTTTTTTAAGTAGAGACGGGGTTTCGCCATGTTGGCCAGGCTGGTCTCAAACTCCCGACCTCAGGTGATCCACCTGCCCCAGCCTCCCAAAGTGCTGGGATTATAGGCATGAGCCACCAAGATGTATTTTAATTGTTAGCCTGGAGCTGGACCCAGTTAACTTGTCCACTGGGATCAGTCCTGTGGCCGCGACTTTGAGACAGTGCCAGCCTGGGCAGCTTATCCTGCACACTGTGCTGCAGGAGGCTGGTGAAGGAGCAGGAGGGAAACATAGCATATTTTATGATGCTGCTGAGAAGGTTCTGTGAGGCTGCTCTGTCAGTCAGCTGTGTTCCATAAAGCTGCAGCAGAAAACCAAGCCCAAAGCCCAGGGCCTCCTAACAGCACAGGTTTAGTGGCCAGCCACCCTCTCACATGTCATCTGTGGTCAGCAGGGCGTGGCTCAGCTGGCGGCTAAGGACAGCGCCTGTGGGACACACTATGCTCACAGAGGAGACGCATGTGCTCCAGCAGAGTGAGTGGCAGTCCCTGAGGCTGGGCTCACAATGGGCAGTATCCCTTCCTCTTGGGCTCAGGCCAGGCTGCCCACTCAGGGACAGGGATGTCCACAACACTGCTCGCATCAGGTGGACAAGGGTGATGAATGGGGACTTCCTGGGCACCTCCCTTCTCTTTATTCAAGAGCTTAGAAGATGCTGGGAACCAAAGTCCATTAAGGGCCATTTTGCAGACATGTCAGGCAGGAGCCGGCATCCTAGGGTGCGTGCTGTGCCATATCTCATGTCAGGTCCCCCATAGATAAGTTGCTAGGCTGACATGCGTGGCTGGGGGCCCAGCTCTGGACACTGTGCCTGAGCATTTTGTGTTGAGAAGGAGCCTACATGCAGAGCAGTGTGCACTCACGGGTATGTGGGCTCCGCATCCGGAGGGTGAGCCTCGTGCCCCCTTAGACTGCGCACTCTCCCCCGAGGGCACCCCGGGTTGGGACATAACACGCATGGAGTCCACGGCGCCCAGCTGCTTTTGCTCCCAGTCCATTTGGGCAGTGCCTCCCTGCTGTGCATGGTCTTAGTGCCCCTTGTGGTCTTAGTGCCCCTTGTGTGCTCATGTTTTTGTGTAAGGTTAGTTGCTTTTCCTGTTCAACCCTGTGACTGTGTTGTTCGGGCGAGTGTGCATGTGTGAGTGTATGAGTGTGCGTGTAAGGGCATTGTGTGAGCATGCACATGTGAATGTGTGTGTGTGCTCACGTGCATACATGTGGAGACACACAGGCTGGGGTCTGTGTTTCATTCCCTGCCTGTTTGAACTGAACAGGTGTTGGAGGGAACAGAGCTTGCTGCGTGTCCCGGGGCCTCCCATGGGTGGGCAGAGCGCTCGCTGGGCTAGGGCGGAGGGCCGGGGTGCAGGTGCTGTCTGTGCTGGTCCCGCAGAGTTGACGGGTGCTGACCTGAAGGACTGCGTGAGCAACAACAGCCTGAGCAGCAATGCCAGCCTCCCCAGCGTGCAGAGCTGCCGGCGCCTGCGTGAGAGGAGGGTCGCCAGCTGGGCTGTGTCCTTTGAGCGCCTGCTACAGGACCCTGTTGGTGTCCGCTACTTCTCTGTGAGTGGGGAAGAGCTGGGGCCAGCGGGACAGTCTGGGCTCTGCAGAGACAATGGAGCAGGATCTGCAGCCCGCCCTAGAGACAGCGGCACCCTGCGGGCCCTGAGCAGCTCTGTGGCACGGGTCTCCCCTCCCTGGACCGCTGCCCTCTCAAGAGCCCAGAGGAGGGTGGGTTGAGTCCTGCCTCTGGTTCTGCCCCAGGGAGAGTCCCCAGCCTTCTTGATCTCTGCCGGGGTCTCTCTGCAGCTCACAACACTGGAGCTTCCTGTGTGCATTCAGGAGCCAGGTGCCTGCTGCCAACTCTTCAAAGAGATGTTTTGCTTTTGGGAAAACGGCTGGAAGCAGCAGCACGGTTCTGTAAAGTGCTGAGAAGCAATGAGGTTTCTCTCTCAAGGTCCTTGGGCAGCTCCCCAAGCAGCTTGTGACCCCATGGTTTCTGTAGAAGGGAAGTAAGAAGAAAGTGGGACCCTGTGTCAATGTTAATGAATGGTGTTTTTCTTAGGATTTTCTAAGGAAAGAATTCAGTGAAGAAAACATTTTATTCTGGCAGGCCTGTGAATATTTTAATCATGTTCCTGCACATGACAAAAAAGAGGTAAGTCCACACTGAGAAGTAGGGGCTGTGGGAGAGCAGCGTGGTCTCATTCGAGGCTGGCTTAGCGCGCACCGAGTATCTAGAGCATTGGAAAATGGATGTTAAATATTTTCACATGGCTTGAAAAAAATCGTTTCTTTTTCAGAATAAATTTTTAAATATACATGATATTTAATTTTGCCTAAACATGGTTTGTATAAACGCCCTCAGCCACAGCTTTTACTGGCAGATGGGTTGTCTTTCAGTGTGTTGGAATTCAGAGGAAGGAATGTGTATTTAGGGGAATTTGAAAGAAAATGTGAGGCAGGAGAGCATCCCAGGCCATGGGTTTCATAGCTTCTCCCCCTGCACCTGGTGGGAGGTGCAGGAGAAGCCTGGAGGATGCCTCCGCCTGGTCTGGCTGCTGTTTGCTCAGTCGGCCTGTGGCCTCGCTTCCAGGCTCTGGGGCCACTTTCATCTGCTTGCAATGCTTCGAGCGGGCCTGTGCTCTCACCTCGCTAAGACACGTGTGCCTATCGACACACAGCAGTATTGCCTCTGCACAGCTGCTGCTGGGCTAGCCCAGGCCTTTGGGACACTTTCAGTATCCATTTAAACAATCGTTGGGGAGCCCATTCAGTGCTGCTGCATTCTGGCTGCACTGTTATTTATTCAAGCAAGAGGTATTTCCTGGGGCCATGAGAACACATCTGTCGTGCCCGGGGGTGTTGGGCCTTGGCATGCAGCACTAGCGTGGGGAGAGGAAGCTGTCCAGGGCTGCTCAGGCGCCTTTCCTGTCAGCTTTCCTACAGGGCCCGGGAGATTTTCAGTAAGTTTCTGTGCAGCAAAGCCACCACCCCAGTCAACATCGACAGCCAGGCCCAGCTAGCAGATGATGTCCTCCGTGCACCTCACCCGGACATGTTCAAGGAGCAGCAGCTCCAGGTAACCCCAGGCTGCGGGAGCTTGTGGGGAGCCCAGGCTAAGGCTCGGCCTATATGGTCCACTTTCAAAGAACACATGCTACCAGGCGGGTCAGTGTTTTGAGAGCATCACAGATGTGGGTAGAGAAACGCAGACAGGAAGTGGGGGTCTCAGCAGAGCCATGAAGTAAGAAGTCTTGAACCACATTGTGCCTGTCCGCAGTGACCCGGCTCTTCACATTGTACGTGTGCATTTGTGTGAAATGACACCTTCATGGTGATGGCGTATCGCATGTGTGGTTTTGCAGTTCGGGACTTCACTGTGGTGATGCGCACAAGGCCCCATGCTGTTTGAGCCGTGCCTCTGCATGTCACTGTGCCACGTGGGTGATGTTCGCAGAAGCGTAGGGTGACATTTTCAAGGCAGTCTGCTGTTAGATCCCAGTCGCTTTTGGTTTTAATCTTATTTAACAAAATAAAAGTTCTCCGGAGTCTGCTCATGCTGCTGGCTTCTGTAAGTTGTCAGAATTCACTAATTTTAAGAGTGATAAAGGCTGGTTTTTGATGAGACAGAAGGCTCAGATATGAAGGCACACTGGAAATAACTCTGTAGTACCCTCAGGGCTGGCGGGGAAGGTGGGCTGAAATGGTGTCTTTTGGAACTGGGCCAGTGGTGGCCTACAGGTTGCCACGCAGCCCTGAACCTGCGGCCGCAGGTCCGGGTCCTCCTGTGATTGTCCTGCCTTACGTCTCCTCCCAGATCTTCAATCTCATGAAGTTTGATAGCTACACTCGCTTTCTGAAGTCCCCGCTGTACCAGGAGTGCATCCTGGCGGAAGTGGAGGGCCGAGCACTCCCAGACTCGCAGGAGGTCCCCAGCAGCCCGGCCTCCAAGCACAGCCTCGGTTCAGAACACTCCAGTGTGTCCACGCCAAAAAAGGTGACCTCCCCGAGGCTGGCCTCACACCCCTGTGGGCTGTGTGTCATCAGCTGAGAGCTGTTCTATGGGAGGTAAAGAGAGGCCCTGTCGGCTTCTTCACCAGTGGCGGGTGACGCTCCATGCTGGAAAGTTCCAGCTGTGTTTCTGGAGTCCTGTCAGGACCACACTATGACCCTCAGAAGCATCGATACCATCCCATAGAGTGCTTGTGTTACAGCTCAGTATTGTCTCCTTTGCACTTATATAATAGTAAAATAACTTCACAGCGTTTTAACCAAGGTTTCCATTTGATGACAGTTAAATGGAAAATCAAAATCCGGGCGATCCCTGAACGAAGAGCTGGGAGATGAGGACAGCGAGAAGAAGCGGAAAGGCGCGTTTTTCTTGTGGTCGCGGACCAGGAGCACTGGGAGGTCCCAGAAGAAGAGAGAGCACGGGGACCACACAGACGGTTTGTGGGGTGGCCCTTGGGCTGTGATGTCCAGGCCAGCCAGCCGCGTCCCCACCCAGGCTGCTGCCCTGGGGTTGGTGATGACCTTGGGCCATGTGTGCAGTGAGAGGCCTGGCCAGCAGGTCGAGGAAACTTGTCTGAGAAACTGAGGAGTGCCGCTGTGCCTAGGGACACGACCTGTCAGCCAGCCAGAGGGCAGTAGGGCTGCGTCACAGTCTTCCAGAGAAAAGGGCTCTGTACGCTCCAGCCTATTCCCACCTCAGGCCTTTCCCCCCACAGTGGCGGCTGAACATCTGTGTCCTCTCCTGCTTTTCACTATAAAAGGAACAGGTGCTTCTGGTAGAAAATTTGGAAAACACAATCAAGTGAAAACAGGAACACACAAATGTGCTATTGGGCGTCTACCCTGATGGCAGCTTGGTTCTCTCCGGGGCTTTTTCCTGGGTAGCTGTCAGTGTCGCTGTGCTTTTTACACATGCGTGGTGTTCTTGAGTGTAGCAGTGGAGTAGCGAGCACTTTTCAAGCTAAGATTGTTTGGTATTGGATATTGGGGGTTGCCCGTTCTGGATGCTGTGTCCCTTTTTTCTCTTGTGCATATCTGAGACTCCCTGTAACAAAAGTTAGACAGAGAGATGGCTCCCAGGGCACCAGGGGCGGGGCCACAGGGCCCTTGGTGGCTCCTGGCTGAGCTCTAGACGCTAGCCTGCTGGTGTTGGTGGGTGGCAGGGCAGAGGTCATGGAGATGCCCATGCTGAAGGCTGGCAAAGATGAGGCCATTTTGTACCAGGTGCTGAAAAGCACACAGGGGAGAGCTGGGAAGATTTTCTTCTCTAGAGATTTTTGAGAAAGGGATTGGTTTTCAGGAATGAGTGTCCTGCCTGAAGGTAGTGGGCTGGTGCTAAGCTGGTGGTCTCCAAGTTTAAATCAGGCAGTGACGTGATTGTGCTAGCACAGCCGGTACAGCCCTGGCGGAGGCTGGTGAGCGGGGCGCTCTGTGCTCCCCTGCTGCAGCTCTTGTGCCTGCTGTCCTTGCCAAGCCCTTGGTGCATGGCTGCTCCCCGCCTGCATGGGGCAGCATTGTGCCCGGGGCATGGAGGGAGACACTGGCGAGGGCATGGGCTTGGCGTGGGCAGCCCTGAGCTCCAGGCCATGCTGCAAGGTGCCCTTCTCTAAGCAAAGGTAGCTGGGAGTAGTAGAGTTCGCCTTTGTGGGACTCCACCTGGGAGACAGACACCGTCTTATTAGATGGGGCCAGGCCTCCCGAGTACCTGGGACATGAGGGAGTGTTCACTCCAGACACTTGCCCTTGTCCCCACACCTGGCGGATCCGAAAAGGGCTTTTATAACCCTGATAGGGCTGGGTGTGGTGGCTCACACCTGTAATCCCAGCACTTTGGGAGGCTGAGGCAGGCGGATTGTCTGAGCTCCAGAGTTAGAGACCAGCCTGGGCAACATGGTAAGGCTCTACTAAAAATACAAAAAATAAATAAATAAATAAAATAAGAGGGGCCAGGTAGGTGGCTCATGCCTGTAATCCCAGCACTTTGGGAGGCTGAGGTGGGCAGATCACCTGAGGTCAGAAGTTCAAGACCACCCTGGCCAATGTGACAAAACCCTGTCTCTACTAAAAACAACAAAATTAGCCACATATGATGGTGCATGCCTGTAATCCCAGCACTCGGGAGGTTGAAGCAGGAGAATCACTTGAACCCAGGAGGTGGAGGTCGGGATTGCAGGAGCCAAGATCGTGCCACTGCACTCCAGGCTGGGCAACAGATTGAGACTCTGTTTCAAAAAAAAAAAGAAAAAGAAAAAATTAGCTGGGTGTGGTGGTGGACGCCTGTAGTCCCAGCTACTTAGAAGGCTGAAGCATGAGAATTGTTTGAACCTGGGAGGCAGAGGTTGCAGTTAACTGAGAACTACACTCCAGTTTGGGCAACAGAGCAAGACTCTATCTCAAAAAAAAAAAAAAAAACTGAATCCTTGATAGCAGTGGGGCATGGTGGCTCATGCCTTTAAATTCCAGTGCTTTGGGAGGCCTAGATGTGGAGATGAGCTGAGTGTAGGAGTTCAACACCAGTCTAGGCAACATAGCAAGACACTCACCTCTACAAAAAAAATTTTTAAATTGGCCAAGTGTGGTGGCACACCAGTAGCCCTAGCTATTGGGGAGGCTGAGGTAGGAATAAGAGTGCCTGGGCCCAGGAGTTGGAGGCTGCAGTGAGCTATGATCGTGCCACTGCCCTCCGGCCTGAGGGACCCGGCGAGCCACGATCGTGCCACTGCCCTCCGGCCTGAGGGACCTGGCGAGCCACGATCATGCCACTGCGCTCCGGCCTGAGGGACACGGCGAGCCACGATCGTGCCACTGTGCTCCGGCCTGAGGGACACGGTGAGCCACGATCGTGCCACTGCGCTCCAGCCTGAGGGACACGGCGAGCCACGATCGTGCCACTGCGCTCCGGCCTGAGGGACACGGCGAGGCTTTGTCTCTAAAAACACAAAGCAAACCAAAAAATAAAACCCTGACTGCACACCCCAGAACTAGCACATTCTGATCTTGGCGTAGGATTTGGCCTAGGTATCTGTTGTTATGGAAGGTGGCCGCAGGCTGGAGGCAGGGGGTCTGGGAGCTGCCTTCTCTTCCCTGCTCAGGCCCCAGAGGCCATGTGCAGCAGCATGGTTTGACAGCAGGTTCTGTTTTAAGCCCTTTGAGTGTCAGAATTTTCGTGATTTGTAGCTTAGCCTAAGAATGTATTTAGTTGAGGTTGGTGATAATTGACACTTGATTATGAGTCATGTCAGGATGTCAGAGGAAAAGGACGTGGACTGAGTGGGTCAGAGGCCGCATCCAACTGAGAGCGCTGGCTGCTGCCACAGTGAGGGGTTTGCAGTTAGGCCCAGAGACTACACCTGGGGATGAAAACTCCAGATCAAATGGAGGAGAGGCCCAGCTAGGACATGCACCTGCATGCGTGCTGTGGAGCTGCACGTACTGATGTGACTGGTTGGGCACCTGCCATGAGCCAAGCACATTTTGGAGCCAGGATGTGGTAGTGGACAGGGCAGAGGGTGGCATCTCTGCTGCATGGTAGGAAGAGCCGCGTTGGCCCCTTCCAGGGTTAGGAAGACACATGAGACTCATCTCTGCCAGGCAAGGCGAGGCGGTGCTTGGGAGGGGCTTTCTGGCGTCGCTACATCTGTTTAGCTTTAAGAGGGCAGAGGGTTGGGAGATATGACCAAATAGATGGGGCTCTGATTGACATGAGTCACTGTGTTTCCCCCGTTAAGACCCCCTGCATGCCAATGGAGGCCTGTGTCGCCGAGAGTCCCAGGGCTCTGTGTCCTCTGCGGGGAGCCTGGACCTGGTGAGTCACTGTCTCCTGTTGTCCCTCAGGCCTCAGGGCTGCCCCCACCAGCTGATTGCTGACCTCCCTCCCATGGAAACCCGTGTTTACAAAACCCAGCATTCATTCTGTAAAGCTGGGGTATGAGGCTCAGGTGCCGGCCCACGTCCAATGAATGACAAAGTGCAGGGCTGGCCCAGGGCCTCATTAGGCCCCAGCCTTGCGGTCCCCCAGCCTAGGGTTCCTGAGATGGCACCAAAAAACTATGACTTACACAAGGGAGGGAACTAAAAGTATCTTTGTGTTTATTTCTTAAATCCTTTTGTTGTGATTTAGTGAAGATGTCTTGAACTCCCACTAGGAATAAGCGGAGGCTCCAAGAGCAGGCGCTCCTGGCTCACCGCATGAGATCCCATCCGCTCTCGCACTGCGGGCCTTGTGCCTCTGTCTGCAGGCCACTTGTCTGGCCTGCACTCTCTCTCACGCCTGCTCACTACTTGGTTCGTGCTTGAGGGAGATGAGTGGGTACAGGCGGGACTCATGAGCTAGCTAGGTGTTGTTTGATAGGAATTTTGGAAAACCTCACTGGTTGCCAGCATCCTAGTCATTTGAAATTTTCCGACAGTAAGTAATGTAGAATATAATTTCTCTTCAGTCGTTCCAAATAACACTGGAAGCTATAAGGATTTACCAAGTTTCAGCTCCTGCTGCCTAATACCTCCTACCCCCAAACTTAGAGGCTTAAGATGATTACTATTGTGCTGTATCTCTGGGTCAGTTTGGTGGTTCTGCCCATTCTGGCCAGTCTTGCCGTGTGTTTCTGGTTACCTGGCACATGAGCCAGCTGGCTGGTCCCAAAGGCCCTTAGTTGCATAGCTGGCCCTTGTTGGCCCTTGGCTGGGGCGGGAGCACCGACAGGACCCCTCATTTGCCTCACTCAGTGGGCCAGTTCACCCCATCCCACAGCTGTCTCAGGGACCCTGACAGTGAGCAGAGCAGGATGGCCTCTGGAGGCCCAGGCTCAGAGCTGCTCATTCTGCCCACCGGGTCTGGGCTGGGGCTGACTCCACCTCCTCATGGGAGGAGCCACAAAGGTATATTGTGAGGGGTGTGGACACAGGGAAGGAGATGGTTGGGACCGTTTGTGCACCAGCCTGCCACTGCACAAACTAGTTTACTGAAATCATGCTCAGGGAGAAGAGACCTCAGACTACCAGAAGACAGTGATAACTAAGTAACAGTCCAGGTGAGGTTTACATCAGAACGGTGTGCACGGGGAGCTATGTATACAGAGGATGGGGGCTGGAACCCAGAGCCCCAGGAGGGAGTGATCCACACAGGCAGCTTCAGTGGGCCCCATAGGACGGCTCTGCTTCTGGGTGGAGAAGCCCGGATGTGCCTGCTGAGCAGAGCCACGTAAGGGCCCATGCTGTCTTGAGCATGATGGCCAGTGAGGCCCAGAGCTGAGAGAATGATGACTGTTCTCCCATGTTAATCCACAACACCCAACACCTTAGGCAGTGTGGACTGAGCCTGAGAGGTGTGCACCTGTGGAGCTGTGGGTGGGACAGTGGCAGGGCGCCAGCTCCCCAGCACAAGCAGCCTGAGCCTGGGCTGCCCCAGAAGGTGCCCCGGGAGCTGCAGGTGAGGGCGCCAGCCTCCCCAGTACGAGCAGCTTGGGCCTGGGTTGCCCCGGGAGGCACCCCGCACCCCTGTGACACTGGCGCCTGCATGGCTGTTTGTCTCCCTGCTCCCCAGTCGGAGGCCTGCAGGACCCTGGCGCCTGAGAAGGACAAGGCCACCAAGCACTGCTGCATTCACCTCCCGGATGGGACATCCTGTGTGGTAGCTGTCAAGGCGGGCTTCTCCATCAAAGAGATCCTGTCCGGACTCTGTGAGAGGCATGGCATCAACGGGGCGGCCGCAGACCTCTTCCTGGTGGGCGGGGACAAGGTACTGACCCGCCTGACCTTCATGCTGCCCCTAGGCCATGGCCTGCCCACTGCTTGTCCCTCAGCTTTGCCAGAGTCCTCCGGCTGCCCCTCCTCTGCTCCTCATTTCAGCAGTGCCTGGGGTGGAGGCCGGGTGATCTGAACTGAGCTCTCTGCTGGGAACACTTTGCATGTGGGTGCTAGGTTGGTGTGGCAAGAGTGATCGCTTTCTTTGGATGGCTATTTTTGAAGTTGCTCTTTTGCTCTGCACAGCTGTGCGCCTGGGGCACAATGTTCTGCCTTTTGGGGGCTGCCTGCTGTGCCCACGTTGATTCTGGTCCTTTGTTCCCCAGCCTCTGGTACTGCACCAAGACAGTAGCATCCTGGAGTCAAGGGACCTGCGTCTAGAAAAGCGCACCTTGTTTCGGTGAGAGGAAGATGCTGTTATCACCTGAGGTTCCCAGAGCCCACCCGCGTGCCCACTACCTGCTAGTCTCTGTGCTTATCGGGTAGCCTGTGCTACCTTAGTGGATGCTCCATGCTGGGCTACGATGGGGTGTCGGTAGGGCGGGGGGTGGAGGTCCACATGAGGCAGCCCCCTGCAAGCCCGGGGGTGAGAGGGGCCCTCTCCCTCCAGCCCCGTGAACAGGGGCTGCCCTGGCCTGGTGAGCACAGCCCCCTAAGATGCATAGCGGGAGGGGCAGGAGTGTTCTCTCAGGGCGGATGCCCCACAGGTAGCCAGGCCACTCTGCAGGATGCTGCTATTGCGGGAGGAGGAGGCCACAGCCCTGGCTTGGCCTGGCATTTCCCATGTGGAGGAAGGCACTTACTGACCAGCTGGGGCTTGAGGGCGGCCTGGGACTGTGCTGTAGTTCTGCTCATGAGACTGAGCTCCTAATGAGGGCTGACATGAGTTTGTAGTGAATTTTTCCATCCCCCACCAGGCTGGATCTTGTACCGATTAACCGGTCAGTGGGACTCAAGGCCAAGCCCACCAAGCCTGTCACGGAGGTGCTGCGGCCCGTGGTGGCCAAGTATGGGCTGGACCTCGGTGGCCTGCTGGTGAGACTGGTGAGTACTGCACGGGCGTTAGCATCGCGGGAACTATCTTTTCCCTTTGGCAGCCTCTGTGTTGTTCGCTGAAGAGGACACACCAGGAAGTGGTGTCTTCCCCCAGTCTGGTTGTCCCCCTGGAGGAGAGGACACAGCCTCTGCCATCCGCAGTTCTGGCTCTGTGCAGTGGAAGCCATCATGATTTCTTTCAAAAAATAATTATTTGAGATGTGGTTTTGCTCCAGGAAGGCCAAAATGATAAATCCACCAACCAACCCTGGAATATCCCCAACCACTGGCAAATGTGATCAGATAATGGAGTGCAAATGGCCCCGCCCCCACTGCACCTGCTAGGCACGGGCATTATGCTGGTGGCCCAAGTGCACGATCACATGTGCATGTCCTGATTCTCACCTGCACTTTAGATTTCAGAACGCAGCTGACGTTTACAGCCTGTACCATTATGTTGTTGGATGGGGTTAGGAAAGAAAACCCTGCCTGGGGTGGTGACAGCAAGCACTGGGTGGGCCACGAGAGACAGGGAGAGCTGGGCCTCACTGGGTGTGCTCCAGAGCATGGGGGTTTAGGGCACAGTGTCCGCCTTGCCTTCTTTCCTTGTCAACTTTATTAGAGCAATGATTTCAAGTATTTTCAGGATTTTAATTTTCCCTGAAACTGCACTCAGATATATTCAATGTATTCACTTTGAAGTGAACAAGAAGAGCCTATTAAATTATTTACAGACACCAGCTCCGAGGGTAACCTGAAGCCTCTTCCCTGCCCTGTGGGGTCCATCCTGGAGTCTGGAAATCTGCGGGTCGGAGACAGACCGTGCCTGGCTTCCAGTGTGCCCCTGTGGCCGGCTCTGGAGACCCTAAGCAATTGCTTAGCCCCGGAGGTCGCAGTTTCCCTGGCTGTAATATTGGTCATGGCAGCACACTCGTGGCATTGTTGGGAGGCACCAGGGTGGAAGGCTGGCTTCGGTCAGGCTCGCTCCTATGAGCTGCAGCCCTCGGCTGCCAAGGTCTCCAGGCCAGGCAGGGTTAGGGCTGTGGGGGCTGTGAAGGATTCGTGTGGAATGGGTTGTTTGGGATGCGGCTTTTTCTTGGATGCTTTCTCCTGACCTCTCCAGTGAATTCCTGGGCCCCCTATGCCCACAAATGTGGTGGAGGAAGCGGGACCTGGGGCAGCTCCTCTGCTTCGCCCCCAGGGCTCACCACACCTGGCCAGTGAACCAGCCCCTTCAGGAGCTCAGAGCCTCTCCCTCCGGGCATTGGACGGCTGCTGTTCCCCTGACTGACAGATTGTGAATGCCAAACAAGTTGATTTGTGATTATGGCAGGCAAAGAGCCAGACTCTCTGCCAGAGGAGAGCTCCAACCCAGAGACAACAGCTCCAGCCCTGTAGCTGGTGCCACTGCATTCCAGCGTCAGACCTGGTCCTAAAGGTGTCTGCCTTTGCTTCCTTGTTTACAAAGGAGAATATCTGCTCTCAGTATCCCCTCTGAGCAGTGTTGGAGGATTGGTGAGCGGGTTTTTAGGGAGGCTATCATCCAGGTTGTGAGCAATGTGGAGACTTCTATGAGCTTCAGTTCTTATTTCAGAGTATTTTCATGCATTTTAAAGCATTAAATATGTGGGTGAAGGTGCTTCTGGGGTTCACACATGTTGCCCTGCCCCTGGGCCTTGGAGGGGACTGGTGCAGAAGGTGCTGCCCATGCAGTTCCTCAGGGCATTGCTCCCCGGGGCCAGCCACGGTGATCAGAGTTAGTTACCCACGTCAGGAGCCCGGCCCAGTCCCAGCCCGTGTGCCTGAGTCAGGCAGGCCTCACCCCGGGGCCATCTCCTTCGTGTCTCCATTGAGCCTAGGATGGTTATGCAGTTGGGCGGGATCACACACACCTGTTCCCTGAAGTTCCAATCCGGGTAAATTATTCAGTGCCCATCTCTGCCCTAGAGTGGAGAGAAGGAGCCCCTGGACCTCGGCGCCCCTATATCAAGTCTGGACGGACAGAGGGTTGTCTTGGAGGAGAAGGACCCTTCCAGAGGAAAGGGTGAGTAAGACCGGCACAGGGGAGGGGGCGGGCAGGGCTGGCGCAAGGGAGGGGGCCGCAGGGCCGGCACAGGGGAGGGCGTAGGGCTGGTGCAAGAGGGAGGGAGAGTGAGGCCAGCGCAGGGGAGGGGGCTGTAGGGCTGGCACAGGGGAGGGGGCAGGCAGGACTAGTGCAGCGGGGAGGGAGAGTGGGACCAGTATAGGGGAGAGGGCAGGCCCAGGGAAGGGAGGAGGCTTTGGAGTCTGCACACAAAAGGGAAATGGTCTAGGCCCCTGGTCCCTCCTCGGTGCCCTGATCTGGCACCCTTCCCTCCGGGCACGAAACAGGAAGCCAGGACAGTAGACAGCTGTGCCCTGCCCCGCAAAGTGGGAGCCTGCTTTGGTCATGACAGTCCTGCCCTGGGGAAGCTGGGGTCCGGCCAGCAGTCTTCAGAGATGGGCTCACTGCCCAGCCCCCACCTGGTGCTGACACACAAGAGCCAGCCCTCCTCAGAGCCCTGGTTGAGAGCCTTGCCTGAGGAAGGTTACTCAGACCCAGGCGGGTGGGGCCTGCAGGTGCAGGTGGTGTAGGGAGGTGTGTCTCTTGGAGAGAGCTTTCTGGAAGCCCCTCTGCAGACACTCTGGATAGACAGCTCACTTTGTCAGGAGACACTTCAGGTGACATTGGGCTGCCCCTCTGTTTTTCAGGATGTTGGCCCCAATGATGTCACGCAGGGCACATGTGGCTCACTTGTCCCCACCCAGGGAGACCTGGGCCATGGGTCCCAGGCAGAAGCAAATGCTGAGGCCGTCAGCCTTAGAGCTCCAACCCTTGCTCCCCTCCCCAACTCCTCATAGAGCAGAGACCCTTCCCCCAGGCCACCCTTTGCTTTAGGGAAAGCCTCACCCCAGACCCTGACCCCCAGGCAGGTGGCGTGAGCACAGCATGTATAACCCAGCAGGGTGGCCTCTGGCTTTGCCCCGGCTGGCCCTCGGTGCCCAGGGTCCACTGGGGCTCAGGGCCTGTTTGTGCACAGGCAAGTCCTGTGGGGGGCTGGAGTGAGGCATGCAGCATTTTTGTTGGGCTGTATGTGGGGCAGGACCTCGACTCCCCTAGTAACATCTGGGCCAGAGAAATGGGCTTGAGACTGTTAGTGCCAGCAAAGGCCAGCCTGTGGCCTTGACCTGGGGCAAAGGCCATATTTCAAAATATGTGCTGGCCTGGCACGGTGGCTCACACCTGTAGTTCCAGCACTTTGGGAGGCCGAGGCAAGTGGATCACCTGAGGTCAGGAGTTTGAAACCAGCCTGGCCGACATGGTGAAACCTCATCTCTACTAAAAATACAAAAATTAGCCAGGTGTGGTGGTGGGCGCCTGTAATCCCAGCTACTCAGGAGGCTGAGGCAGGAGAATCGCTTGAATCTGAGAGAAGGAGGTTGCAGTGAGCTGAGATCATGCCACTGCACTCCAGCCTGGTGACAGGGCGAGACTCTGTCTCAAAAAAAGGGAAAAATAGTAAATATAAGACTGTGACCTTCTAAAGAATATTCATGCCAAATAGTATATGAAATGAGCTTTTCAATTTCAACATCACTCTTCCAGAAAGTTCCCAGTTAGATGTACAGATCCCCACTATGTGTGTGGAGGACGGGCCTTCTCTCCTGCCCCATGGAGTCTCCCCTGCGGGCTGTGTATGGTGCATAAGGGCAGCAGATACCTTGTGGCTTCTCTGCAGCTTTGCTATCAGAGACCGTGGGATCAGGTTGTCTATAAAACGTTGAGATGGATTTGCGAGTCCCTGAAATTATAAAGCTTTCTGATTTTGTTTAGCATCCACAGATAAACAGAAAGGCGCTCCCGTCAAACAGAACACAGCTATAAATTCCAGCTCCAGAAACCACTCGGCTACGGTAATTCCCCGCCCTGGCCCACCCTGTGCCCTGCTTCCCTCTGCGGCCCGCCTGCTCTGCACAGCGCCCGGGTGCTTCTCGTGCCTGCCTGTCACTGTGTGTCTCCTGCACACTGCTTGGCGGGGTCTGTCCTGTCCCTGCTGATGCCCAGCTCCCTCTTACCTGTGAAGGACCAGCTGCTGACGTTCTTTTCTTCTGAGGTGGGGGCGGTTGTACCTTAAATGCTATTCTTGTTTGTAATCTTGATCATTGCAATTGGTTTTTCTGCAATGCATGCAAATTCTGTGTCAGTGCAATCTGTATTTCATAGAACCTTCTAATCTATAACTAATGAATGATACATTGTCATGTATTGAAATGAAAGTAGAACTTTGACTTTCCTTCTAATGCAGGGAGAGGAAAGAACACTAGGCAAGTCTAATTCTATTAAAATAAAAGGAGAAAATGGAAAAAATGCTAGGGATCCCCGGCTTTCAAAGAGAGAAGAATCTATTGCAAAGATTGGGAAAAAAAAATATCAGAAAATTAATTTGGACGAAGCAGAGGGTATGTGAACTTTTTAAAACTTCCACGTTTTTAGTAAATGCACAGTTTCCAGTATAGTCAGTAGAGCTGCTCTGAGCTGTCAGCATCTGGGTGACTGTGGTTCTTCTCTGTGGCCTGGAGGATACATGCCTCCTGGGGGCAGTCTGGGGGCTGTTGGGATCACTTCACCAAAACCCCAGTTTTCAGACCGAGTGCCAGGTTCTTAGGGTGTCAGGGGCAGCCGATGTGAGCAGCACTATCTGCCCTGAGATGCCACAGGCTCCGCCAGGCTCTGCCTCCTCTCACCCAGGCTCCTCCCCATGACCCCACCTCTGGCTTGCGCCAGGGCCCCAGCGTGGGTGGAGGCACAGTTGGCATTAGAGAGTCCACACTAGGCAGAGTTGGGTGCCCAGGAGAGGGGAGGCGGAGCACCCCGGCCTGGAAGGAAGGGCCGTGGGCTTGCTGACTTCTCTTGGCCACGGGGTCAGCGAGGCAGGTCAGTCTGCACACCGCTGAGCTCCAGGAGAGTTGGCAGGCATACCTGGAAGACTGAGATGGAGATGAGTCCTTTGTTGAAGCTGCTTTTTCCTCTAGAAGCTTGTAACAAAGAGAAGCATTGAAAACAGAATCCAAATCAGCAGCTGTCACTGTGACCTGAATTTTCATCCAGGGCATATTTGCCAGTGCACTTGGCGTGTCATGGCTTTGTCACAGCTGGCTGTGGAGTCCGAGCTCACGTACCTCCAGCCTTTGTTAGCCACCAAGCACAAGGAAATCACATGCACTCTTTGAGGCTCCTATATTTCTGAGAACCAGCGAAATTGGAGATTTTAGATTCCCTGTAGTTGTTAAAAAGTCAGAGTGTGATTTCAGTGCTAGAGAAATCCCAGTTTAGACACCATCTATCTTGAATGGTGGCCTTGGGGCCTGCTACACTAGAAAGTCTGGCCCAGTTAAGAAAAGAGCTCAGGGGGAGCCAGTGAAGAAGCTGGAGGTGCCTGCAGGCCCTGGAGTTGTTGGGCAGTGGGAGGCCCAGGGGCACCAGTCCTGGCCCCTCGGGGCTGTGGAGCTCCAGCAGAGAGAGAGGGAGGGTACGTGTTGCCCCCTCTGGCCTAGGCCTGGAAGGGCCACCCTCTGCCCAGAGGCATTGACCCAGGAGAGGCAGGCATGGATTTGAAGGTGCCCCTCCCAGACCACCCATCTCAGGGCCTTCCTCTCCTCCCTCCTTGGGTTCATCCTCCTGCCAACTTTGAGGATGGCAGCTGTACCCAGGACTCAGTGGTGCCTCAGACGCTGACCAACCGGAGAAGGGGCCAGTACTCAGAGGGCCCCAAGTCCTCAGCCCAGGCCAGAGAGCCCCACAGTATCCTACTCAGACAGCATCAGTGCATAACTGTGTGGAGTCAGGGGTCTTGTTTATTCAAGTCTGGACCTCATGCAGCTTGGTTTTCAGGGAGTCACAGCTTTTTCAGACTCCTGAAGACAGAGCGTGCTAGAAGCCACAGGGCTCTCCCTTCCTCTCTGTACAGGAAGACAGTGTGGACGGAAAAGGGCTCTTCTTGACCCACAGCCGATAGGGTATTAGGACAGCCCAGGATGAGAGCTTTCTAGAATGTTCTGCTGTGACAGGCATTAATGTGAAACTCTCTAAAACATAGTCACTCTGGGTTTTCTTCCAATAGAGTTTTTTGAGCTTATTTCCAAAGCTCAGAGCAACAGAGCAGATGACCAACGTGGGCTGCTAAGGAAGGAAGACCTGGTGTTGCCAGAGTTCCTTCGTTTACCGCCTGGTTCCACAGAACTCACCCTCCCCACTGCGGCTGCCATGGCCAAGGGCTTTAGCAAGAGAGGCGCAACAGGCAGTGGCCGGGAGAGCGCCTCCCAGCCCAGCGAGCAGTGGGAGCCCGCCCAGGAGAGCAGCGACAGCCTGTCCACCAGCCCGGGCTCTGCCCCCAGCCCCCCTGGGACGACTTCCCCTGGGCAGAAGTCTCCCAGCGGGGCCTTCTGTACCCCCCAGTCCCCCAGCTCCCTCGAGCAGGAGGGCACCACACAGATCTGGAAGAGGCAGTCTCGGGAAGTGGAGGCCAGGGGCATCCAGACGGTGGAGGATGAGCATGTGGCTGAGCTGACCCTGATGGGGGAGGGGGACATCAGCAGCCCCAACAGCACCTTGCTGCCGCCGCCCTCTGCCCCCCAGGACGCGCTGGAACCTTCAAGACCAGGTACCTCCAGGTTCTGATCCCCTCCACCTTGGCCCCGTCAGCGCAGTCTGCTCAGCTTCCAGTCAGAAAGGACAGCGGGCCCCCGGCCGCCACTGTTTGCTGGCAGTCTCGGTGGCCCCTCCTCACCTGCTGTTTGGTGGCTTCCTTGGCCCTCTCAGAAAGGAGGGGCTCGTGTGGCCCCAGGCCAGTGTCTATTAGGATGGTTGCCCCGAGGCGCTCCAGGCAGGCGTCCTGGGGTCTCGAGAGGCTCTTGCAGGAATGAAGCATGGCAGTGCCTGCATCCAGGTCTGGGAACACCCTGGGCGAGGCCTGGGGGTTTCTGAAAGTGGAGGCCTTCCTTTCCAAACTTGGACAGCGCCCATTTTTAGTGTTTATGTCTCAAGTCTGAAAAACAATAGCATTTGTCTTGAGTGAGGAAGTGAAGCCCCTGTATTTATAGCAGGAGAGGGCTCTGAGACACAGGCCTGTCCTCAGGGAGAGCCTTGAGAGTACAGCTGGGACCACCGGCAGCCCCCATAGCAGGTGCTGTGGGTGCTCGGGAGTTGAGTGACATCAGCAGGGCTCCTTGACTGTGGGTGTCACAGGCATTTCTCAAAGGAGTCAGGGGAGTCAGTGGGTGTGAAGGTGAACAGGATGGTCTGGTAGCAGGGATATTTCCACGAGCCACAAATATCAGAAACTGAAGCGAGGCTCCCAGCAGGAAGCAGGGGAAGTGGCCTGTGTGGCCGTCCCCTGGAGAGAGGAGCCACTCAGGGTGTGTGTCACGGAGCGTGCTTGGGGTGTGTGGACACCCCTGTGGTAGTCTACTACTGGGGGCGATGGGAGCGCCTCTCCGTCCTGCACCCTGGTCCAGGATGCTGATGGCAGCGGGAGTCCTGCCACCGGGTCTGGTCTGATCAGACCTGTAGCCTGGACCTTGCTAGGGGACCAGGGAGTGCACATCTGTAGATCTGTACATATCTGGGCTTTGGGGGCCACGTGTGGTGTGGGAGGAGCTCCCTGGTCCCTTTCCCAGCCAGGACATGCCTGGATGAGAAAGCCTGAGGTGCCTGGCGTGCCCACTGGTGCCACTCCGCAGCCTCTGCCCCTGGCCCAAGTCCCCTCGTCCCGTCTCCAGACACCTGTGTGGCCGTCACCTGCGTTTTGAGCCTGTTCTTCCTGGAGTAATAAACTCTGGACGTCATGACTGGACTGACTGGCTTCCAACTTTCCTTTCTCATTTGAAGCTTTGTTTCCACTTTAGAAAATAATAAAAATGTTTTAATCTACAGGAAATATTACACATTTTTAGGAGATTAAATGGATTAATCTACCGGCTTTTGCTTGCCTGTAATCCCAGATACTCTGGAGGCTGAGGCAGGAAAATCGCTTGAACTCAGGAGGTGGAAGTTGCAGTGGGCTGAGATTGCGCCACTGCACTCCAGCCTGGGCGACAGAGTGAGGCTTAGCCTTGAATATACATACGTGTGTGTGTGTGTGTGTGTGTGTGTGTGTGTGTGTGTGTGTGTATATATATATATATCATTCACTGAACAAAACTCTGAGCGCCTGGTGTGCTCCCAGCGGCACAGTTATGCAGCAGGATGGCAGAAGGGCTGGCGGCCCCGTGGGTGGGTGCTGAGATGAGCTGTCCCTCTGGCCCTCAGGCTGCAGTCCTTTGCCCACACCCCGGCCACGTGGCCCTGGGGCTGGGGCTGGCTCTGTGCACAGGTCTGGGGTGTGGGGTGCGTCGGGCTGCCTGGGAGGGCTAGACAGACCCACATGTTCTCTCTCCTGCCAGGGGCCGTCAGCATGGAGGTGGTTTACAGTACAGGCACAGCCGAGCACCCACAGCTGGTGTCCCTGATGTGTTGGTGGCAGGAGGGCGGGAGGTGCCGGCCTTGAGAGGAGCAGGTCCCCCTGCTCTGGTGGCTGCCCCCAACTGCCACTGGCCAGAACCAGCTCTCCACATCACTGGCTCCCCAGCCCCTGTGCAGTTGGGCACCCTGGGCCCTTGGCTCTTGGGCTGTCTCCTAGGAGGAGACCCAGCAGGAGAAAGGGGTGGGAGTGGCTTTGGCCATAGGTCATAGGTCATAGGTCTGTGTCCGCCACGTGCCTGTCACCAGCAACACCAGACAACTACCGAGGACCTGCCCAGTCTTCCTGGTGGTGCTGGCTGTGGGTTGCTTGGTGGGGACGTTGAGACAGAAACTGCTCTGTGCTGCTTGCTTTCTGGAACCCTCACTCTAACGAGATTCTCTGTATTGGAGAGGTCCTTGTCGCATGGGCCTCGAGTCAGTCACCTGCCCCTGGCGGCGAAGGAAACAGGCTGTGAGTGCCATAGTGGTGCGATGGAGCCTCTTTCACAACCGTGGGCCTGGGTGAGCCTGGACTGAGCGCTCACCCGTCATTGTCAGGGTTTAGGGGCTTGGGAGTCATCCCGGGTCACACTTTATGATGTGGACAATTGATGCCTCCTCACAATGTGGCAGCCACCCTGGACCCAGTATCTGGGATGAGATACACAACACAGGCTCCTGCCCACTCCACAGTCACGGTGGGTGGCATGCCAGCTATGCATGGGGGCTGCCAGCAACAGCCCTGAGGTAGGGGGAGTCTCCATAGAGCTGCACCACCCCACCCTGCCCTTCCAGCCTTGGCACCACGCACTGTGCCACTCAGCCCCCGCACCATGCACCGCATGGTGCTCCACCCCACCCTTCCAGCCTCAGCATCACCCACCATGCCATCCCATCCTTCTAGCCCCAGTGCTACACGCCACACAGCACTCCACTCCATCCACCATGCCCCGAGACCCGTCAGCATGGCTGGCCAGTACCCCCCATGCGTGTCTGGTCCCAGAGGAATGTGGGCGAGTCTCATCTTTTGGCCACTTGCCACCAGGCCACCCAGTTTAATGCCCCTGAGCCTTCGCTCTTTGACACACACAACAGAGGCTCCAGGCGGGAGAAGTGCCAGGCCCCTCACCAGGCTCCAGGGCATTCTGAGGGGGCGTGCATGTGTCCACACGGTGCTGTGTGTATTAGTCTGTTTTCACGCTGCTATGAAGAACTACCCGAGACTGGGTAATTTATGAAGAAAAGAGGCTTAATTGACTCACAGTTCCGCATGGCTGGGGAGGCCTTAGGAAACTTGCAGTCAGGGTGGAAGGCAGCTTTTCACAGGGCACAGGAGAGAATGAGTGCCAGCAGGGCAAATGCCAGGCGCTTATAAAACCATCAGACTCACTCAGTATCACGAGAACAGCATGGGGGAAACACCCCACCCCATGATCCATTTACCTTCACCTGGTCCTGCCCTTGGCATCTGAGGATTTGGATGGGGACACAGACCCAAACCACACCCGTGAAACCACACCTGTGTGTCAGGCAGATATGCCCATGTGCGTGCACACCTGGTGTGTGTGCGTGTGACCTGTGTCTGCATGACACACATTTTGTGCATGTCTGTTCTCATGGGGAGGGAGCAGTCCCTCCAGCACCGCTGCGTCCTGCCTTTAGAAGTCATCTTCCGTCCTACACTGCAGCAGACGCGCTTTGTGTTTTCACAAAGGAGAGAGGTGTTCAAAATGTCGCGTGCACCCACACCCCAGTTTCCAATGCACAGTGCTCCTTCCATATGCGCAATCTTAAAACATGTTCTTAGGATTGTGTTGGTATTAATTCCAGATAAGCCCCAGATCTTCTTAACCAGATCTGTTTAGTTTACAACAAAAAACCTGGAAGCTGGGTGGTCTCACTGCTGGCCAGCTGGCTGCAAGGGCACAGTCAGGGGGTCCTGGCTGGCAGCTGGAGGCCAGTGGCTCCTCCCAGCCCCTTTGGGAAGGCTGAGTGCCCAGCGCCGTGGCCAGGCTGGGCTCCTGGTGCAGAGGTCCCAAGAGGATGCAGACTCCACATGCTGGTAGGGAGGTGCCAGGCACCTCCTCAGGAGGGGTCCCCGTACAGCTGTCCTGGGGCTGGGGTCCCCCGGGGCAGCTCACTGGGTGGGGGCAGGGGTCACTCAACCTGGAGGCCCTAGTGTCACAGCTGCCAGTGTCCCCTAGGGACACATTTGGGCCCAGTGGCTCTCAGGCGCTTGGAGCTCAGCTACCTGCCAGGTGCATGCTGGTCTCCAGCTCTCCACAGATGCTTGCCTGCTGGGATGTCTGTGTCCTGGAAGTGAGGGCACGCCCCTCACCCTGGGAGTGAGAGTACCCTCTGTGACACGGCCACTATGTCGTCCCTGCTGAAGCCTGGGTGAGGATGCAGCCTTGCCCGGCTCCTGCTCTGTCCAGAGCCACTCCTGTGAGAGAGGCCTCCTTGGCAGGTCCCGTACCCAGCCCTCTGCAGGAACAGATGTAGCTTAGGTGCCCTCACTGCGATGTGGTTTGAGAAATGCTGGCTTTCTCGGGGACACAGCCACCAGAGCCAGCCACTGGTCTCAGGCTTGCAAAGCTGCTGGGGCACCTGCTAGGTGCCTCTCCAGAACCGCCTCTCCTCAGAACACCTCCTGGCACCTGCCCAGCCTTGTGGCTCCCCAGGGGCTTCTGAGCTGACCAGTTGGCCTGGGCCCTCCTCTATAGCCCGCAGCCCGGCTGTGACACGTGGTCCTCCCGGATCTCACCACAAGACACCCTAGGTTGCTCCCCTCCACCTCTGAAGTGTCTGCCCTCTGCCTGAAGTTTCAGCCAGGTCTTGCAGAGTGGAAGTCTCAGGGCTGCAAGTGACCGTGGCCTGGCCCACCCCCATGTTCCCGCTTCAGCCAGTACTGCTGGAGCTCCGGCCTGCAGCCCCTCCCTGGGATCTGCCACATGCACGGCTGTGCCCTGAGTCATTCCCACTCCTGTTCCCCGTGCACCACGCTGTGCACCTGCTGGGCACTGTCCAACCCCTCACCAGTGCCCGGAAGTATTTGAGGAGCTCTTTCTCAGCCCCAGCCCATCACAGGCACAGTCATGATTCTGGCTGGGGACCCACAGGGACAGGGGGACCTGGGGGCTCCCACTCTGGAACCAAGGTTCAAGGGTGGCTCTCTTTCCCATGGAGGCCCATCAGCAGGAGTATGCAGGCCTCCGTGGGAGCCCGTGGAGCGTGCTGCGGTGGGAAGGCTGGGAAGGGAAGGGGCTTTGGGAGCTAGGATGGATTGTGGGGTCCCCGCCTCTGTCTTCCCCTCACCTCCCCCTTCCTCCTGTGTTCTCAGTGTGAGCCGGCTCAGCCATGCCTGGGTGTCCTGGTGTCCTGTGAGCTTCCAAGGGGCACTAGGGAGGCTTAACAGAGGAGGTGGCTGCAGTTAGCAGCAGAGATGATTTGAAGCATGGGGGCAGAGGCTGAGCAAAGTGCCTGGGGACAGGGTCCCTCTGGGGACAGGAAGGGCAGTGGGACAGGTGGCAGGCCTGGGTCTCAGAGGAGAGCCTGGGAGGCAGCTGAGAGCCCCTGCTCCCGCTGTGCCTGCCAGGAGGTGGGGTCCTGACTCAGCCTTGAGGACCAGGGTGGAGTGGGGGCCTGACCTTTGCTGCCCCAGGCCCTTCCTGTCCAGACATTCCTGGACAAGTGTGGGGGAGGCCCTGGGGCGACCGGCAGCTGGTGAGGGGCCCACCCATGTGGAAGGAGAGGCCTTCCTGCTGTGTCTTGTGGGGCTTCCATCATGGCCCCCTTCCAGGAGGGCTGGACAGCGCAGTCACAGCGGCACGACCAGCCAGCCGAGGGCAGGGAGCCGTGGGGCCCACAGGAGGGGAGGGGTTCAGAGGTGGCCCAAGGGGCAGGGAACGAGATCCCATTGTGGCCTCACGTCTGGATGTTAGGCGATGTGGGACAGGTCAGAACGAGCCGGCACCGGGATTGAGATCAAGAGGCCAGGCCCCTCTGGAGGCGGCACAGGCTCTGCCTGGGGCCTGTAGCCCTGCTGGGTCTCTGCGTCGCCATCCCTGCCAGGGAAATGCTGGGTAGGAAGTGCTTGCCAGGCAGGCCCGGGCACGCAGGTCATGAGGCTACCCGCTGCTCAGGGCTGGGCCCAGCGGCTGAGTCAGGCCTGGGGTGAGGCTGGGCCGCATAGGCAGGAGGGGCCTGGCTGTAGCCCCCTCTTTGTGAGGTGGGCGTAGTGGCCAGTACGGAGCTGCCCTCTCTCTCCTGTCTCCAGAAACAAGTGTTTCTCCCCATCTTGAGCACACTAGCTGTCCGGGGCTCACAGGGACCTGTCCTTCCATCTGTCCATGTGGGGCCGGTGGGGCAGAGCCTGGGTCCTGGATTTGTGTGGGGTCACAGGCCCCTTGAGAGCCTGATGAATGCTCCAGGCAAATGCCCAAATGCCCACTGTATTGACCGGCGACGGGGGGCAAACCCCTGCGTCTCCCCACACCTGATCATCTCCCAGCCCTGCAGCCGGCTATTTGGTGTCATGGGGACCCGGTGACAAGAAGGAGATGGATGGAGCTGTCCCCTTGTACCCTGGGGGCAGGGCTGGCTCCTAGCCCTGGCAGAACCTAGCAGGACACTTGTTGAATGAGCAGAGGCCCGACTAGGAGAAGCTTTTGATTTCAGCTGCTCCACGTGGACCCTGGGCCTCCAGAGGACATCTGCACCTGGCCTGCCTAAGACACGCAGGCCTGGAGCAGCCCACACGCGGGCTGGGCGCTCTGGTGCTGCGTATCGGGGCCAGGATGAGGGCCTTTAGGGCCACTGCCGGGACTTGTTCAAGTGAACGGGCGGGGCATGCTCAAGAGGGGAGCCACGCCTTCTGCCCGCAGCCCAGACTTACTCATGGGCGCCTCATGGAGGCTGCTTCCAGAAGCTTGGACCGAACGGCGGGGGTATGCTGGGTGGAGGACTTTGATGGCCGTGGAGCAGCTGGGGCACCAATGACCCTGTGGTCATCTCAGGGACCTCAGAACTGTGGATTGAGGAGGGTCTTCACCTTCCCTGGCAAGGCCTTTGGTTCACCAGGGGAGACCGAGGCCCAGGGAGGGCAGCCGTTCATAGCAAGGACCCTTTGTCCCTGGTTCTCATCGGCTGGGGGCCGGCTCCTCCTGCAGCCAGCCTTCTGGGGGCCCAGGCCTGCTGCTCCTGCCACCCCACGGGCGCCTCAAGGCCCTCACCTTGTCATAGGCATGACTGTCTCAGGGCCTCGGCCCCAGGCTCAGTGAGGAAGGGAGCTCCTGGACCCCTGTGTGGACATATGCCGGGCACGCAGGAACCTGCCCCCGAAGCCTGCTCCTCTGAGTCAATAAGACACCCCCACTGTGCAGATGGGGAGGTGGAGTCGCTGATCGGGGAAGGGCTTCTGGGTCCTCCCAGCACGGGGACTGCCCTGCCCTGCCTAGGCCCTGGGTCCCGCCATGGAGCTCCAGGGGCATGTGAACCCACCCATCCTCATGCCCTTCACTCCCCTCAGCCCCACCCTTTGTTGGCCCCTGGGGACTCCACCCTGGCATAGGCATGACTGTCCTCCAGGGTCCATGTGGACGCCACCAGACATGGCCGGCAGTGACGCCCTGGGTAGGAAGACTTCCCGGGGGTGCTGGCAAGGAGATGGCCTGCCACGTTGGGTCTAGAAGCTTCCAAGGCCTGCTTAGGCAGCCAGGAACTCCTGGAGGTGGAGTGGGCACTGGAGGCGGAAGTGGGGCCAGAGTCACTGAACAGCCCAGAAGAGGGGCCTAAGCAGGGGGATCAGGGATGGAGGGGGAGGGTGCATGACAGGCAGGCCTGAAGCAGGGTGTGTGACGGGGCCCAGGCAGCCAGCCAGGTGGGCAAGCAGGTGGCCAGCCTGGTAGGATGGGGCAGGCCAGTGATGCAGGGCTCAGGGCCCGCTCTGCCAGGCTGTGAGGGTCCAGCCTTCCTGGAACTGTCCCACCCTAGTGCTTGGCCCCCTGGAGGTGGCCCCTGAGGAAGAAGTAGGGGCCACGACAGCCTGAGACGTGTAGTCAGGGCTGGGGCTCCCCTGGGGGCCCAGCTCTGTTTCTGAGCTACACTGGGGAGGGGGGGGTGGGGAGTGGGTGGGGAGGGGTGTGGTGGGGTTTGGGAGTGTGTGTGGGGGTGCAGGGTTTCTGAGTGTGTGAGAGGGTGGCGGGGTTTCTGAGTGTGTGAGGGGGTGGCGGGGTTTCTGAGTGTGTGGGGGGTGGGGTTTCTGAGTGTGGGGGCTCTACCACTTGGTGGCAGGTGTTCTGCTCTGGGCTCTGGGAATAGTCCATCTCCCCCGGATGCAGCTGCCCCAGCCTGGAGGCTCACAGTGGGAGGCCAGCTGCCTCTGGGATGTGTTTGGGGTGTTTCAGGGACCCCCCCCCACAGCCATTGTCTGTGCAGGGACCTTGGGGTGCGGGTTGGGTTCCAGGGGCCCAGTGCTGCGCCAGGCAGGTGACACCTTCTCTTCTCCCTGTGACAGGAAGCAGGGCCCACAGCAGCAGAGGCCTCCCAGGTAACAGAATCATCGACGTGGATCTCGTCACTGGCTCAGCGCCTGGACGGGGTGGCTGCACTATGGGTGCTTGGGCTGGCCCCGGGAGGTCGCAGGTCAGCAGTGAGTCTCCTGCATCAGATCTCCCCAGCCTGAGCCCCGTCCCGGGTGAGCCTGCCAAGCCCAAGGCCAGCACGCACCACGCCACCTTCGTCTGAGCTGCCCCCGCCTGGCCAACTCCTGTGGACACATCGGGTTGGGGGCAGCCCAAGTGGATTCTCTGGGCCTCAGAAGGGCCACCTGGCCACCAAACCCTCAGGAGCCGAGCCAGGAGGGCAAGGGGTGACCTCACCGGAGGGACTGGCCCCAGACACTCGCCGTGCTGGCCGTGAGGCTCCCCGGCCAAGGCCCGCAGCTGCCCAATAAAGCGTTTCTGAGGACCCAAGCGTTGGCCTGGTGCTGGGTGCTGGGGACACAGACCCCTCGTTCTTGGGACTCTGAGCGCATCCCCGGGAGGTCGTGCAGGAGACACAGGGGCCTGAGGAGGAGAAGTGCCCCAGGGTAAGGTCGAGGGGGCTTTGAGGAGAGGGGAGCTTGGCTCTCAGGGCCTGAGGGCCAGGACCAGATGGCAGAGACTGTGCCTGTCGAGTCGTGGGGACCCTGCTGCTGCTGTCCTGAGCCCCCTGCCCCGGCCTTGTTTATTGGGCTGGTCTGAGAGCCTTTCTGGGGAGGGACTGTCTAAACTACAACTTGACGGCAGAGGAAATCTAGAAAGAGTCCCGGCCTGTGCCAAGGCCTTGGGGCTAAAGAGGCCTGAGTGCAGACAGCAAGCCGACGTCGCTGGGTTGAGTCGGAAGAGGCAGGGCCATCCCCCAGGTTGCCTCGATGGAACCCCTAATGCTGAGGAACCTCGGGACAGGGTGATCGGTGAGCTCCTCACAGCATCCCAGAGGCCTGAGAGCACAGCAATTCCCCTGGGTCTGTTCTAGAAGCTTCCAGGGAGTGGATGGACCCCAGTTAGTGGTGCTCCAGGAAGGGGGCTGGGGGAGGGGTTGGAAGGGAAGATGGAGCTTGGTACCAGCTGTGTGCACCACCCATCACGGTGCCCATTGTGCCCTCAGCACCCACCATGCCCCCAGGGCCCACTTCCCCCCTTACCCACCGTGCCCCTGGGGACCCACCTTGTCCCCACACCCACCACTTTGCCCCTCACCCACCATGCTGGTACCCACCACGCCCCTGGGACCAACCTCGCCCTCTCACCCACTGTGCCCCTGGGACCCACCTCGCCCCCTCACCCACTGTGCCCCCAGGACCCACC